GTGAGGCAACACTCCAAGGAAAAGACATCATGCAGGTTTCCCAGCTCCAGGAGAAGCTCACAGGGATGGGTAAGGATGTGGTGTTACACCAGAGCCTGCTGCAGGCAGGAGCTGCCAGGGTGAGCATGTGGAGCCTGGCGTGGCTCTCTCAGGCACTGCTGGGGGGCACAGGCCCCGTACCTGCTGCACAGACATGTCAGGCCTGAGCCAGCTGCAGGAGTAGCAGCATCAGTGCAAACGTGGCCATGTCAGGGAAGTCAGAGCACCAGGAAGATGTGTGGCACGGGAGGGAGGAGCCCGGCGTGTGACCTTTGGGTGGCAGGAAGATGTCAGGGTAAAGCACAAGCAGAGGAGTAGCTGGGAAAGACTGGGAAGCAATGAAGTGTTCAGGGTTGGCTTCCTTCCCTTGCCTTCTTCCTCTCCTGCCCCTTCAAATCTGTGTTCTGAGAAGTGTTATGGTCTACATTGCACCCCCAGTTACCCTGCAGAACTCCAGGGGTCCAGTCTGGCCTGAAAATCAATGCATGTTGGGAACAGCACTAAATGATGTAAACCTGAGCTGATCTAAGGTTGCTGGGGATATCACACTCATAATACCTACACTTTTGGTTTTCCATACCTGGGAATAAAGGGTGGGAAATGGAAGGATGCAGCACAAGTGGTTGGTTGTTGTCTTCCAATAAGCTGGGAGGAAAAATGCAGGTGACAGGCTGGGTTAGGGGGAATGGTTTGCTTTGTAGTGACACAGCTGCCCATATACATCTACAGAATCCTCACCCGACACTTCTACAACATAAACATTGACTGACTTAAAATAGTAGGTTTTGAGGCTCTTTGTCTTGTGTGCTCATTGCACACCCCAGTGTGATCCCGTGTGTGTGCTGGGGTTTGCTGGATGCTTCCTGCTGGGCCTGTGTGACTTGGAGAGTTTCTTACAACTGGACGAATTTTCTGTAGATTTGCAGAGAAATGTAACAGAAATGAAACTGCAGTGGTTTGGCTCCTCATCTGTACTGTGTGTGTGTGCTCAGCAAACCCATTTTCCTACATGGTGACAAATGTTCTGTAAATGATGGTACCAGTAATATCATTATTTGGATGTCATTAATTTGTGGGAAACAAACCAACAGCTGTGGGGAGGTGAAGGGAACAGCTGATGTGATACATTTCTATACTGTGAACACCATGGGGATGCAGACAGTGACACACACTGTGGGGGCCACACACCAGCGTTTCTGGTGGGTTTGGGGGTCAGGATGCTGAAGCACTCTTGTCCCCACCTGTGTTCATGCTTCACAATGCTGCTGCTGCTGTTTGCTGTAAGCACGTGGCTCCCAGGCACATAAACTCATATTTACACAGCACAGACCCACAGCCCAGGGTCCTTCCTCTGTTACGTGCAAGCTCCAGAGACACTGGACTTGAATTACAGGGTGGCTGATTTCTTTGACTTTAGGTTAATCCAAGAATGTTTTGTGATCTAAGAAAAACAAATTTCTTTATAATTGCAAGTAACTAATATTTGTTTTCTTAGGGTTTTTCCCATAGATGCTCATCTGTGAGTGCTCAGCCTGCGCTCGCTGCTCTCCCGGTGCTGCAGTTCCTTCACACCGTTCCTTCCCCGGGCAGAGCAAGCACGGGCAGTGACCCTGCAGCAAGCACAGTTATGGGCTTTACCTTCTCACAGACTGCCATTTGGGCACTCTTCTTAATTGCCTGGGAGTGATAACAAGGTGTGTGGTGACCAGAAAGGTTTCCTTTGGCTGTGGTGCTGCCTGCCTCATGCTGATGGGTGAGGAAGAGAACCTGCTCACACCCAGCGTCTGTGGTTGGGCACTGGCTCGGTGCTGTGCTCAGTGAGGTCCCCCACTGGTGTCTCTCAACAGGTCTTGTCAATGTGATGTTGGGATGCATCTTTTTGGCTGTTGCTGGTTTCTGTCTCCCCAGGGTGCACGTGGGTCCCGAGCGGCTCCAGGGGTATGTGGCCATGTCCTTAGCCACTGCTGGCTGCTGCAGGCAGCACACCCATCTGGGTTTCTTTCAGGGGAGGTTAAAGCACCTCCCAACAAGCAGTGTGGAGTTTATCTACTTCTGGACTGCTGCTCTGAGGAAAACAGTGCCAGAGTGACATGCAGACTCTGAGAATTAGAGTTTAACTTCGGGAAGAGCCTTGCTCTGTGACAGAGCAATGTCTGTGATTTTGGGGATGGCAGGGATAACTGCCCTGGTGTAGCCAATTCAGGTGATGGAGGAGACTCCTGTGCATGGGCCTTGATGGGCAG